ACCCAAATACTTTGGAGATAAACAGGAAAGCACTACCACATGCTGTTTATTCAATACGACTCACAACTATGCAGCCAGCGTTTAATCAGTAATGTGGACCCCTTGATTATTAACCCTCCCCTGCAGAGTGTTTTCAATTTAGCCTTTTGTTATCAATAATCTCTGAGCATGATTGCACTGCTGCATATATACATGATGGCAGGGTGTGGAAGAGAAACAAGGAGAAACAAGGATGACTCTCACAGCATCCTTGAGTATTTCTTCACAGTTTGAGGAAATGCATTAGACACCACATCTCGTGTGACTCCTTTGTTAGATAAATGAGGAATTTGCTACAGGCAGACCCAGACAAAGCAAAAAGACAGAGATGAAGAGGGCAGCAATTTTGCCGATGATGGAGCATCCAGTTTGGTCTGAGTGAGTGACAGGACACTCATCATATCCACTCCAACCAGCAATCACCTAGCCCCAATGTTGTTCAAATGCCTTAAGGTGATTACACACCTCTTCAGACGTGCCGTTTAGCCGGGTTCGAAATGTCTTTCATCTCAGTTTGGATCGAGGACGTTCGTACATTGCCAAACTTTCCAAAAACACGACCTGACAGTAAGGCCAGGTGTGTTTAGGTGTGAAAATGGGCTTGGTTTAAAGCGCTGTGTACATTATTTTCTTCACATTCCTACTAGTTAAAGCACAAACTCTGGTTGCTGTTAATGTTTCTGTAAAATAACCAGGGTCGGAGGGAAACTTTAAAAATGTCATTTGTTACAATTACTAGTTAGATCAGTAACCTAATCTGAGTATCACAATATATGTAATCTGAATACTTTCCTCTGGATTACCTAATATTCAAATCAAATAAATGTATTATTAGATGTTTTTACTTGCATTATGTAAGACAACAGAACCATGTGACCTCAGAAAAGATGATATTCAGGATAAAATAAGAATTCCTCTTACATTTCGGCTAGACCAACAGAATGGTAGACTTAACGAAAAGTGTTTTAGTTCAATATATGAATTAAAAGCTACTGTATTTTTGTTTTATTAAATCAGGTGTCCATCCACTGCATTAAAAAAGATATTTAAAAAAAAAAAGAAGAATAAATGTAAATGAAAACCAAAAAGAAAATGCAGGCAGTATGCGTCTACCTATAATAAACTGATCTTTATTGATACATTGTAATCTTGAAAGTAATCCCAGTTTTTTTGTTGTTTTTAAAAAATGTAACAGCAACCTAATTAGTTACTTTTCTTTTGTATCCTGATTACGTAATCCCGTTACATGTAATCCGTTACTCGAATAAGAGAACGCTTCTGACTCCTTTACCTCACAGCTTATACTCCTTTCTCAATCATGAGGATTTGAGTTTGTCGGTGGATAAACCATGGTTGTAAATGTCCTCCAATGACTGTTTGAACTAAACCCCAATGATGGCCTCTTCTCTATAGGATGGACCTCTGACAGAGCTTCTGCCATGACCTAGTTAAAGCTGGCTGGCAGCAGCTAGCAACAGCTCACAGACCGTTGGCGGCCATCGGGCTCACCGTGCACCCTGCATGACGAAGACTCTCATCCGCAGGCGGGCATCAAATGATAAAAATAAATAGGCTCAGAATCAGCCCAGCAACACAGATGTTATGTAATGTAAATGGTGCCCCAGTTACTGCATCTGCTGCTACAATGGGCCAATGCTGAGCTAAGATGTGTCACCTGATGCTAACCCATGCTGCTACAGGAGCCCATAAAACACATCAATACAACGCCGATAATGCTGACTAAGGGTCCACTTCACTTAAGTGCAAAGGCCACACTCGCAGCAAATACAAGACATTTACACAACGACATAAATTCAATTATTTTGAATGAAGCCTGGAGCTTTTTGAGCAGCTTTGTACCAAAAACTACCCTCTAACCTTGCCTGCATACATTGAGGAAACATATGCCGGCTCAATGCATTATGCATGTGTGAGGTGGCGGTCCTGACTGACATACAAACCCTGTGTTCACCAAATTACCCAAAGACAATTGATAGAAGCTTCGTATGGAGCTAGGCTATGTAATCCATCCAAAGAAGAGCAGACATAAATATTTCACCTGGTCCTTAACTGACATATGGTATTTTGTCTCGACTTTTGAGTGCTAGTGTGAAGTGAGAATCTGTCAGGGGCGTCCCTGGTGGAACATCCTTCTTGTTCATCATGGAAAAAGAAGGCCAACCATTATATGGAGTAATATACCGCAACACTGACACAAATTGAGAGCAGCACTCTGACCTGTGTCAAAATGCTCGATCACAGAGGGTCATCAGTGGAGGTCTTACACCATGTTATGTAAAATGCATTGTTAGCGGACGCCTGTTTTAAAAGTCAATTCAGAAAATGAGACAAAAACTGGTTCACAGGTGACGCAGGGGGAAAAGCAGAACATGCCTGTCGTCTGACGGAATGTCAGAGACGGCCTCTTGTGTTTTCTCAGATGCCTGAAAAAATAAATGTATCGAAGGCTCATATCCTCCCAGGAAAAGGAGTGTTTACAGGACTTAGTAGGTTTATCTGTGCCAGGGCCAGCAGAGCCACAAGGGCCAGAGACATCATGTCCGCCCCCCCCTGCCCCCATCAGCAGTGGATGGATAAAGAGCCAGGTTTGAGTTTAGAGACAAACTCAGTGGCCTCATACTAATGGCGCCAACACGACATTAGTGAATTGTTGCTGTACAAAGGCTCATTGACAAACAAATTATAGCACGGACAAAAACCAGCAAACACACAATTTGAATGTCTTTAAAGATTCACAATAAACAAATCACAGCCACAATGGTTTCAATAATAATAATCTCATTGATTCAGCATGATTTAAAGCTTCTTTTGATGAAATAAAACTCAACTATCCAATATGGAAGGGATATTCTTGCCTTTACGAACACAGAAAAAGAGCATAAATGAACCAGAGGACTTCAACTTTGTATTGGCAACACCAATCAAAAGCAGCCTTCACTTGTCATGGTTGCCCATGTCATGGAATCCAATCTGCACACTGCCACCAGATCCATGCTGGACCTTTACCAAAATGCTGTGGGCTTCCTCATGTCCCACTATTAAAACAACCCAGCACCCTTATGCTCCTGCTGCCCCGAGTGAGAATAAGTCATTGGGGGAGGAAAGAGTGGTTCGGAAAGAGGCAAAGGATAATGTACAAAAGACGGGAAACAGATAATACGAGTTATAAAAGCAGAAACATGAGAATGAATGTTCAAGAGAAGAGGAAGGAAAAAAGGGAATAATGCATGCATGGACAGTCGAGTGGACTGAGCATGTTGAATCATAAACCCATATCACAAATATGACCTACTTTAATTCCCCTCACAGTAAATCAGGTTGCTGTGTGTTCAATTAAAGCTATTAAAAAGGCACAGTAAAGCTCATATCAACCAATAACTATTAATGATAGTGATAGCGCTCGGAAAAGCCTTTATGAATCAGTTGTTGGATAAGAAACGGTACAAAACAATAATAATCGTCCTCCGTGTCACATTAAGTTACTCATTTACAAACCACTGCGGATGAATTATAAATAAGTGTCTTGTCTCACCAAGAGGATTCAAGTGTATCGCTGCTTCTAGATTCACTCTCATGTCTTTGTTTGAGTAAGAAATTATTGGCAGTTTCGGGGTTTGTGTCCAACTCAAAGGAAGCATCACCATCATAAGCAGATACAGTGTTAATGTTCTGTGGATTGTGCGGGGATGGGTATTCAAGCTTTAGTTTCGTGGTATATAAAAAGATAGAGGAACACCAGGGTTTTTCCCTTAATCACTGTGGCTCTCTGCATGTCAGCAGTGGGTTAGGATAGGTCATAAAGTCAGGTCAAGTCAATAAAGTATGTTGACATCTTTCAGCTTCATTAAAGCCTCACTGTCAGTGACCTATGCAACAAACTGCCCCATAAACAACATGGAAATGCAGCTCATAATTGCATGGTCTTGTACGAGGAGTATTTTGTTTCCTTTAAAAAGCAAACCAGCCTTCTAATTAGCCACGATGAGAGATTACATTCTTCAACAGTTGCCATTTAATCTGCAACAAATGTGTCTTGAGCATTTCCTATACCAACATGCTATTTTAAGACTGATTTATTATTTCCTGCACAGTGACTGTATGCACTGAGGGCATAAATCCAGCTTCTTTACTGCCATGTAGACACAACACAGCAGCCACTATAGGACTGCACTTGACATTCCAAAGAGGCTACTTGGAAGCAGATTCACCTTCAGTTAACCCGGGGCCAAAACAAGTTTCCACTCCTGTGATTCGCCCCGGCATAAAGATAAGGCTGTCAATCACCGGCAGCCACGGTGGGTTTCACAAACACTCATGGGAGGCTGTTTATTCTCTGGGTTGCTTGACGTACGTGTGTGTGTATGTGTATGTGTATGTGTATGTGTGTGTGTGTGTGTGTGTGTGTGTGTGTGTGTGTGTGTGTACTTTCATTTTAATCCTAATGGTTGAAGCTCATGTTGTCTGTGGTATTTTTTATAAATGTCCATTTACTGGTCTCATTGATAGGATACAAATGTAGTTCATCTTCACTCTGATTAAGTGATTATATTATCTTTCTCCTCTAAACACTCAACCTAAGTAGATGTTTCCTGGGACAGATTTACTTGAACACAGGAAGTGAAGCCCTTTTCATTCCCAGAAGATGAGAACAAATCTAAACACGGAGTAAATACTTAGGCAGTGTAAGTTACAATATACAAAGATATATTGCATTCCAAACCAACCACAGCAATGAAAGCATAGTCACACAGACATTATTAATAGACCAAAAAATACCACAATGTTATTCTGATAGAAAAACGTAAAGACTCCCAAACATTTCCTTCTGTGGATTAATAGCTCAGCAATAGGTTTTTCGAGGCAGAACGAGGACATTCCCAGATGTCTGCTTCCTGACTAAGTGACCAATCTAACCGTCCGCGTGTCGGGGATTGACTTACCGGTAGGTTGCTATCAACAGACAATCTCTTTAACTGCTCCCTCCTCTCCAGGTGTCTGTTCATGGCTCCTCTGCCTTGCAGCGATCCACACACCTGCGAAGCCCTGAAGGGAGGGGAAAATGGGAGGAGAGAGGGAGAGAGGGAGAAAGTCAACAAGGAACACCTCATGTCCGGTAGGTCACGTTTCCGCTGTTAGCAGAGGGCTTTCACCTTTTAAAAAGGAGATCAGAGTCCAAGCCAAGTAGCAGTGGCAGCAGTTTCAGACAAAGTGACAGTCTTCTCCTGCCATCAATTTAAAGATCTCCTATCATGCTATTTTTAGGCATATATTATGAGTCTAAGATATATTAAAAAAACATGTCTATGATGTGTTTTGCTCAAAATACCAAACAGATCATGCATTTTAGACATCCCTCATATCCCTCTATTTCAGCCCTGTTAGAGAAGGGCTGATTCTGGGTCTGTAGCTTTAAAAAAAGAAAATACAGCTAAATGCTGCCGTGATTAAACGCCATATCATGTTCAAAACCACATTAAGGATTATTTCTGAAACAGTATGGAGCTCAAATGCTTTTTCTCTTGCGGGTTTACCACAAGGTGAGTTCCTTTTAATATTCTGCTTTTTTACACATACTCTCTCCAGTACAGGTTAGCTCGGAGTGTTAGCGATGCTTGCTAATGAAAACAAAGACCATATTACGTCCAAAACACGTTGCGCATTGTTTCTGATAGCAACGTTTCTGATAGGGCTGTGGGTGTAAAGCCAGACCACATTTCTGATATTACGTCATATCGGCAGCAAATCTGGATCAGCTCCGTTGTACCCCCGTTTTTAGAGATTTGGGTACGGAGGGAAAGAGAGAGGGTTTTGTTTTCTGACACTTTGTGAGTTCCCTTACACACCGGGGACAAATATTTATGTATAAAAGACATTAAAAAGTGAATTTTTCATGATAGGACACCTTTAAAGCCTTTCCCTCCCATTTCTTTCCATTACAATGCTCTCTCTTGAAATTGAATCCACAGAGATAAATCCCGCTGCTTGCTCTCGGCGTCACCCAGGCATCCCACCCTCCAACCCGTCCCCAGACCCCAAGCCCTTTTGTTTTCCTAGGCCTCTCCAAACAGTGCTGGGAACCAGTCCGACCTGGTCTGACTGAGGCCACAGCGGAAGATAAACTCTTCACTTCACGCATACTACTCCTTTACAAAAGAGTTTTAGAGACACTGTGGTGTTGCACGGAGTAAGCACACCATTTCCTCATTGGGGAGCACAGGGTCAAAGGTCGGTTGATGGACACTTCAGGGTCAGAGACCTGACAAATTTGGAGGTATGCATGGAGTCAATTCTGTCCTCAGATACAAATTCCCCTTAAATACCCAGGTCACCATTTAAACCTGGTTTCATTTATACATGGCCATTTAACCTTTCTTCAGGAGATATCTAGCTGGGGAAATAAGGATTTTCTCATCTCTTGCTCTAATTATAGAAACTAGTATCGCTTTAAGAAATCAAATGCCTGCTTAACCATGTGCATTTAAAAAGGTGTCAAACACAGAAACCACTCGTTAAAGATGAAAGTTGAACCTCTGCATGAGTTATTTTCATAACCAAGTCATTGTCATAATAAAACATTGTGGGTCTAAATAAATATGCTATTTCAAGCCACACCAAAGCTACCAAAAACATCTCATGACACCCTCAGAATAAGATCCACTGGTGCGATATCTCACGCCTGCTAAGTGTCACTATTGGCTAGACTCAGAATGAGGCTAAATTGTATTCATCCCTTTTTCTTTTTTTTGTAGGTCAGATGTTTTAACTTGCCTCACAAACCTACTTATGCAACCAAACAGCGTCCCAAAGTGCCTTTTGCATCTGCTGCAGGCAGTATCTGTTACACCCTGTCTGAAGCTTCAGCAGCGTGACTGCACTTGTCAAACATCCCCACACATCAACATGACACGTTCCATCCACTGCCAATTTGGTAAGTCTAAACGTATCGACGTGAATCCACAAAACATCAGACTGCATGCAGGATCAGCCACTATCACGTATCCATTCAGAAGAGGTGTTATGTTTCCCAGCATGACACAGTCTCCATCTGGCCCATTTCTGAACACCCTGGGGTTATGTCGTGTATAAGAAAGTTGCCTAATCAGAGAACAGGATGTGAAATGTCTTTAATGACACCGAAACATCAGACTCCTGCCTGTCGCTAAGCCTGGCAATGCAATGGCTAATTGTGCAAGTGTATTACATCTGATGAAATACTCTGGTCTATGTTTAGAATGCATTTCAGTTTGGTCCCTTTCCGCTGGAGATTAGTAGAGGAAGTAAAGCCCATGGCTTCCCTTGGATGCAGAGATAGGGGGGTTATAGGAAATTGAGAGTAAATGATTAAAATGGATTATAGCAATGTCCTTGATTGGCCAGACCCGACGTAGAAAACACAGACACCATTTTCCTTGGGGTATAGAAAATGTGTGGATTGAGGTAGTGGAAGTGATAAAGATTAAGCAAACACATTAAAAGCTAAATATCAGGGGTATTCAGATAAAAGCAGGCAATAAAAGCAAACTTCTGCCTTTGATAGCCAAATGATGCTTTGTCTGTGTGCTGTCAGCTGCCCTTAAATTGCTAGTAAAGATAGCAATTTGTTTTAAAGAATCATCAGTAAATGTAAATAGCTCAGACAAATGACTAAAACTATCATGGCTGTTGTAGGACCATGGTGATTGGTCACAGTGTTGCAGTACTTTCTCTAAGTTTAAAAGTGAGGTTCATTTGGATATGTCCTACAGTATATATCTAATAAGTTTAACATAACTGGTAATCAACCTCTCATCCAATAGGATTTTACTTGGCAGAACCAGTGTTCATATAAAGCATGGGAGTCTGATTTGCTGTCATGGGCTGATGTCTGTAAAAAGCAGCGCCGTGGTCAATTTTCCTCACCCGATAAATGTGTTGACTGTCACGTTTCTTGGTTGCTTGGTTTAAAACGGAAATGAAACACTTAGTGACCGTTGGACATGACAAATGCCATTTTAAATATGCAATGACATACTGGTTTACCAAGTACTGGTTTGGTGAGGACACTATTCCTGTGCTTTTTTCATGTATTTACATAAAGCTGCATATCATATGAACAGGACACATTTAAATGCCTATTTTTATGACAATCCAAGGGCCTCTCTCCACAACTGAAACCCCTTCAGGACTGTCCTCCCTTGCTCTAAAATCCTTGTGATTTACACCAAAAGCAATTACTGTTATGTTAAACCAGTGCGCTGTTGACCTACGTGGAGTGACACGCGTCAACGCCTATAGTCCACACGGCCCCCACACGGCCCCCAGCCGGCCGTCCAGCCAGTCGGCCGACCAGCCAGTCGGGGGGGGGGGAAGGATATAATCAAAGAGGCCAGGAGGACGCTGACATCTGGGAGTCTTTGTGCTGTAGGCCTAATTAGATGCCAGCGTAAAAAGGGAGGAGGCACGGTGGAACAGTGTGTTACTGTGTGTGTGTGTGTGTGTGTGTGTGTGTGTGTGTGTGTGTGTGTGTGTGTGTGTGTGTGGTGGGGGGGGGGCTCCCTTTTTTAACATCTGCTCCATGAAACAAGCGAGGACCGAGCTGAGGTCACACAGTCCTAGACAGCTACCAAACTATAACAGGGATAATGTGAGGGGGATACCAGCTTAATGATAACACTTAAAGCCATTCAGAGATGGCTGTACAGAAAACCTGGAAAAACGGTGATAATAAGCCTAGATTGTCCATGAATATGGATTGTCATGACTCAGAATTGATACTGTTCCTTTGAACGGCTTAGAAGAATTAGGCAGCTGTGCATTTATTGCAATCAGCAGCCTTTTACTGGCACTGTCATCTTAACTTGTAGCCACACTAATCCTTTCCCTACAGTAAAAGGTCTGCTGAAGAAACACTGTTGCTCCACCCGTTTGGCTTTTGCCTTTGCAGTGTTACAGAGACCACACTCTGCCACTAGTGACAATACTGCCCTTTGTACCTAATACAGTCAGGCATTCACCCACGCATATTCTCATTTCACACTGTGCAAAGAGTCGCCACAAGTAAGACATCTTTGTCATGTTAAGTTCAAACACAGATATCAAGTGGGTGAAGTTTGTGCCTTGAACTTTGTCCCCTGTTCTCATGAAACAGAACCTTTCATTGAAGAATAATTGCAGCGGAATTTGCAATAAAAGAAAGTGGGTTTTTTTCATTGTGATGCAATTTAGTCAACGGTTATACAATAAATGGAGGATCAAATAAATGTAAACAAATATTGAAATGGCCAAGTGGGCAGGAAGAATGAAGGAGGGAGAGCCAAACTCTTAAGAGAAGGGGATTCAATTCATGCATTTTGCATGAGTTTTCAATTGACACACACATCTATTATAAACTTGGGCTAAGAAAGAAAAACGTCTTGCCCAAACAGTGACTCCGACCTCCATGATCAATACCACACTGCCCCAAGAAAAGAGCAATGCCAGGAAGTGGCAGGGCCTGAAAATGGATGGGATTGGACATTGATTGGTGCACTCCCTTTGCCCCGGGAACCAATTCATTTTGTCTCCATGCCCTGTGTCTGCCTTGAATAAATGGGGGGACTGAAACGGGGTCAGCGCAGAGACTCCCCCATGGTACAGAGCCCAGTTCTCTCTTTATTTTACTTCTGAATGATTCATCCAGATTGCCATGTCCGGGGAGAAGAATGAATGACCGGGAAGATTATACCTTTAATTCGCCCTGCTACACTTGGGGGGGAAGTGGGAGGGGACGTTGGGGTGGCTATTACTTTCCGTTCATTGAGGAGAAAATTGAAGCATGCAAGTGTCTGATGTGGGGTTTAACGTGCGGAGAGGGAGGTCCATCTGTATTCTAGAAGCACAGATGGTTTATGCTGATCGGATGTTTTGAGTCCCTCTGCTGGCCGGCCTGTCTGATCCTGACTCTGCATGTGTCCCGTACAGTTGGCACGACCAAATGTAGCCTGGCCCGCACTAACATGGAATTATTGTGTCTGAGAGCCTCCAACGGTCTTTTTTGCTGAATAAACAACCAATGTCCTTTCCCACAATGAGAACGAGTACAGTTGTTGAGGGTGTATAACACATGTGTGTGCACTGTGCAAACAAACCGGCATATGGATCTTACTTATCTTATCTGTTAGTCCTTTTTAACAAAGATCAAAATTGGTTTATAAAAAAGCCTATGAAACCAGCCCCCATTTTAGGATCTTCAAATTGCTGTTACTGATAGTCGCGTGAAACCACAACGCTTCTCCAGACAGGGAAAACCTGATTGAAGGAGTAAAGTTTGATCCTGCATATTAAATGAGGAACAAATAGAGCTTCTTATCATGTTCTTAAAACTGAGAGAAATGCGGATCGTGTGGCATTTATAAATCATGTGGCTTGTTTGCGATAAGCAGCCAGAAATGTGAAACCTAGTTTTTCTGTTTTAATCTTTTATTCACCCTCATCACCAGATGCTCTAGTTCTGTCTTTTTAAGTGTTCTCAAAAGAGATTTTTGTAAGGGACACATTTGACACATTTACATGGGGCTTTCTCATCCAGTCTCTTTGAAGAGTTTCATCAATATTAGACTCAGCCTACTTGTTTAACAAAGCTTGTCAAACATGACTGATGCGCCGTTTTATCAGCGCGCCTTGACTGAAAAACTGGTTACGTTATACTATGCAAACACCTAAATGACTTCCGATGACAAACAAGATAAAAAGGGAAACTATCTGCGAACACGACCCCTTTAATGATAAAGTTTCTGCATGCTAGGACTTGTCTGAGCAGCTTTAAATCATGTTTAGTCAGCACTACTTAGCAGGCAGTTTAATGTGGGGGTTTAAAAATGGCGGGAGGGGTTGGAGGTCTAGTGGAAAAAAAGAAAAAACAATGAATACAAAGTCGTCATCCTCTTCATGAGGGGAGTCCCTGCAATTCCCTGTGCTTATCCCACCAGATGCGTAGGATGTTGTAATGTACATCCTGGGAAAAAACTCAACTGAGCTTCCTGTCGAGGGACCCTCAACTGCTTTGGCCAGCATGCTTTGACTCTCTGCTGAACTCTCTCGTGATAACGCTACAGGTAGAAAAATACAGAAAAATACACTCCAAAGGCCCAGAGGTGATGCAGTATGCCAAGAGAGGGCAGAATAATTTTCCGACTGTTATCAAAATACACAAGCCTATCCCCCCCTTCTACTTTGGTATGCGGCAGCTCACTAAATAAGTGAACACACACATTTCAACAGCAGGCTGCTGACAGCTTGAGAAACAACAGTGTGTTCATCTTTCTGCATGTTTTCCTGTGTGCCGTTTCTCACAGCAAAGATCTGCAAACGGCAGCTGTCACAGTTTAGTGTTCAGAGCATTTGAAAACAAGCAGAGAGGATAATTTTAACAGTCATTCACAATTAACATTCAACAGTTTGGAGGTGGCTGGGATTTTTTTGCAGCAGTCATTTTGACATGTAGTACACTTAATGAACATTGTTAACGTTAGCAATATCACCTGTTGTGTACTGCTATGACAAGTCACAATGTCTGTTGTGAAAAAGTCTAGTTTGTGCTCATTTTTGACCGTCTTATGTTGGAAGTTACAGGAAAGCTTATTTAAATGGTTTCAACTACTTTTGAATGTTGATGTTGTTGCTGAGCTTTTCTGCAGCTAGCTAGCCAGCTAATAAGCTAACATAAATAAAACTAGCTTATAAGCTAGCTAGTTCATTTCGGTGCAAGCTAACACTTATTTGTTTTAATACAAATCATTTTGTTTCAAGCAGCCTAAATCTACAGCTCACATTTATTTATCTAAATCGTTAACAGTGCCATGCAAATGACAAAACATTTCATTTGTAGTTTTTATTTTGTCCAGGGACAATTAAAGTGTATACCACCAGGGTTAGCTAGAGGCTAATTGACATATCTTGTTTACCTTGGGCTGGTTGACAAAACATACCAAATAAACTCTTTAAACAGCACTTTAAACAATTAAGGCAATCATTGGTGGTGACACTTGTTTTAGCCAAAAATATGACGCTGGTTATAAACACTGAAAACATTGCCTATCTTACATTAAGGGCTTCAGTTTGCTAGCTAACATATAAGAAGCCATAGGCCTACTTATGTTACTCAGCAGGTAACTGCCATTATGACTGTCAAACACTGCAGGTCACCCTTGAAAAAGAGATCTTTTGATCTCAAGGGGCTTTCACCTGGTTAAATAAAGGCTACAAACAAACAATCAAACTTTTAAACTGTTTTAAGCACATGCTCTTCTTCTTGCCACATCCAGTCATGTTCTGCACTGACTTTTGCACACTTCTCCCTAACAATAAAGGAAGGTGAATCATTTCAGCCTCCTATAATGTCACGAGGCAAACAAGCATGATTCGAAACTTACTCTGAGCCGGTTGGATCCTCTCCACTCAACAGCTCTGTAGTTCCCAGACTCTCAGAGGTGTTTTGGTCAGGAACACAACCTGATGATGTGGAATTTCCTTTGAGGGCAGCTGAAAACATGCTGTCGTAAATCCTCCTGGAAGTGTTGCAGGGGGGGAAGCCACTCACAAAACACACACTCTTTAAACACTATCTGTGCTGCTGGAAGTCTGCAGCAACACCCAGCAGACTTGTAAATACAGAGGGGGGAGTAAGGGAGGCGGGGAGGGGCGGGAGGATAAGGAGCGTGGTGAGGAGAAGTTCCACATTACGTCACCAGCAGCTGTTGACAGGCATGTGTTTATTAACTAACTGCCAGGGCTCGAGGAGTCACACCACATGCCTCGAGCTCTAACACACAGCTCCACACACACTGACAAGACAATAGGCTAAAAGTCAACTTCACATCAGCCAGCACCAAACATTCTCAACCATCCGACTCTGCTCTTTCGCAGGTGTGTTTCTCATTGGCATAAGCCACGCCCCCTAACCCATATAATGGCATGTGTTGTGTGTAAATATGTCACATACATATAAGAATTAGAGAGATGCTTTTAGTAGTGCAACTGAGGCAGTGTTAAATCCAATCAAACAAGTTAAAATGATATTTTAGAGGAACATTAAAAAGCGTTAATGAGCCGTTTTTAAGCCGTTCAGAAGCTTAACTCAGGCAATATTATGCACAAAGAGTTGTTATAGACTTAATTGGGATCAGTAGTATTTCCTAAATAATCCTATTTTCATAATTTCTTGAAAATATTTCATTATCTAAATTTGCTTATATGATATTCCCTCAATTGTAAAACGTTGTTATTGTGCTTGGTTGGAGTGGTCTCGAACACACGCAAAAAAATGCATTTCACAAATAAGAAAACATTTGTGAATCCTAGAAATCAATGGGTCCAAAATAAAACTAGAACAAATTGTGGATACAAACAATAATAAGAGGATTTCCCTTCACATATCACTTCCTGACTTTGATATGAGACACATGCAACTATGTGCAAGTAACCACAATGTGCAGACACGTGGATGCATGCTTATTTCGGTAGTCAACATGCTCAAAATCTCTCAAGATTGAATTTCTCAGTTAGCTCTGACGCTGTAACCTGTTATCTGTTCACTCTGGCCATGAGACTTGCTGACTAGACTATTGGAGCTGGTTTTTTTACTCGGATAGCAGTAATGGTATTACTGCGGAGCGAGAGATGCATTCCTCAAGTGTCTCGGCTTGGCAGGGTCCCCAGCCTGTACTTCTCCATCTCTCTTTCCCTTCTCATTTAAATGGAGGCACATGACTCCCAGTTTAACTGCCAAGAAGACTTATTTATGCTTTTCATTGGTTTCTCTACAGGGCGCTTGCTTAGCGTGCTACATTCCTAGCTGCCACCCACCCTCGTAGCCCACAAGATTTCTAATCTCCAAGATTAAAAAAAAATGTATTCTACTATTTCAACAATTAGACAGTTTATACATCCGTAGAAGTGGGAGGGCAGAAAGCATAGTTTATACAGAGGTAGCCCTCCCGTTAGTCATCCTGTTGCAGGATAAAGACAAAAAAATACGCACACAGATAAACAAAATGATATATATATATATATATATATATATATATATATATATATATATATATAAAAAACAAATAAAAATAAAAATTCCTACAAGTCCAGATAACAAGACAGTTTCATTTCTCATCCTATTTTTATATAAACTATGATAATTAAGATAATCATGATAATAGTTATTATAATTTTTTTTGTTATTATCATTATCATATATCTATATAATCTTTTTTATCTATTTTGTATTACTACTTAAATACAAACTTTGAGTGTTATACTGTGAACAAATGCTCCGCTTCAGCCCATCTCTGGTGCATTTCTTGCGGTCTAAAATACAATAATTTCTCCCATAATTCCATTCTATTGTCGCATTCCTCCCCTCTAAACTCACTGCATTGCAACATTGTTAGCTCTCGGAGACTGAGTGGGCTGACGACATTGCAAGACTTTGAGCTGTGAAGAGCTGAAAGACAAAATAATTGGCAGCTCTTTCAAAGCATAACGAAGAGCCAGACCAAGCAAAGAACATAATCCCAAATCATCACAGACATTCAATTAAACCTAAATGTCAGGAGCTAATCAGTTACTGGCATCAATTGTTATGAAGGAGGAAGATAATAATATTAGGAAAATTACATTTCAGTTTTCAGCATTTGATCATGCAAATCTTTGATTTCTTAATTGGACGCTTGTGATCTATTCTTTGAGTCAAAGAGACAAATCCCCAACCAAAGGAGAAAGATGTATCATGCTGAAATGTTAAACCTTCCAGTGGTGTTTTCTCCTGGAGGCCAAGGGAAGCCATGCTCTGATGGCCGGTAGGGTGTGCTGCGTTGGGACTTCCCCCACTCTGCGTGTCTCTTCCTTCCCGGGCCGGCCGATATGAAGCGTGACCAAGAAGCACCGTACAGGGGTCCCACGGGTCCCGCAGCGGGGTGAAGGTTCCCAGCTGGAACCTCCCCACCTCCGCCGCGGTGCACCCGGCAAACATGGTTGTTTCTCGAACCTTTCACTGTTGTCGAGCGGGTGTAACTAAAATACAAGATGTTGTGGTGACCACCTATTTAACCACTGGGACATAATTCAAACTTGGAACTACAGTTGCGGTTATTGTTCCCACACGGACATGTTATGGGTTACCTATAAATAGTGTGTACCCTCTTGGCTCTCTCTTGTCGACCCGGGCTGCGACCCGATAACATGTCCTTTGCAGCTTGTGAATACATCACTATTCTTGCACCTTCCTTGCACCGCCTCTGACTCCATATCTCTCGGCACTACACTGGTGACCCTGATACGTCTTGAGAAGTTTCCGGGACGGAGCCGAACACGGCAAAAGGAACTCGAGTTCCTTTCTCGAAATGCCGGGGTTTGATTGGAGACGTCCGTGGCTGCCACCGGCACGCGGACTGAGGCTCGGTGCGCGCTCCGCAGAAGGCTGGAGACGTTGCTCGCCGTTCCCGCATCGGCTTTCTATCCAACGGGGGGACGATGCACGACCTGCTGGGTCGACCAGCAACCCCATTGCTACCTCATGGGTTTGTTCTTCGGGGCGTGCGGCTGCACGTCCCGGCTGCTAACCACGTGGGGCTAACGACGGCTGGCAGCTACCCATGGCTGGCAGCTAGCGGCTAACCACGTGGGGCTAACGACGGCTAACGGCTATCAGCCCTTTTGAGTTTGTTTTTTTCTGGTGCCGGAGAGGAGGTTCGACCAGCCGGTTGACCTCATGTGGACACTCTCAAATTTTTCACCACCTCCACGGCGGTTCCAGACGCCACTCACGTTTTCATCGACGCCTGGGTGGTGCACTCCTGGACCCCGTCTCGCCTCAACGGTTTTGGACGTCGCCCATGCTGCCATCGGCCCGTGGGTGAAGCGCTCCGGAGCCTGTCTGGCCTCTCCTGCCTTCCGGGGATATCCAGACGCCACTCACGTTCATCGGCGCCTGGGTGGCGCACTCCTGGACCCCCTCTCGCCTCTACAGTTCCGGACGTCGCCCATGCTCCATCGGCCCATGGGTGGCGCGCTCCGGGACCCTGTCTGGCCTCTCCTGCTTCCCGGGGAGGCCTCAGCGCCTGCTGAGGACTTCATGCCCGCCGCCGCGGCACGTCTGCCTGCGGCCGGGTTGCTCTCCTGCTTCCCGGGGATACCTCGACACCTGCCGAGGACTTTGTGCCCGCCGCCGTTGCACGTCTGCCTGCGGCCAGGTTGCGCTCCTTCCTCCCGGGGGGACTGCTCCTCTCTTCCGGGGATACCTCGACGCCTGCCGAGGACTTTGTGCCCGCCGCCGTTGTGCGTCTGCCTGCGGCCGGGTTGCGCTCTTTCCTGCTGGGTTCTCCGCGACACCTACTGCGGCCCCCTTACGACGGCCCGCCCCCGGTGTGGGTGCCTTCGCCCTCGTTAGGGCCCCTGCCCTCTCCTGCGGCCCCCTTTCGTGGCCCGTTCCATGGCCAGGTCCTCACCTGCGGCCCCACCCTCCTCGGCCCTTGTGGTGCTTCCTCCTCGGACGTGGGGATATATTTTTTTTTGCCATGTTTGAATTCTGGGGGGGCTTGTGTGGTGACCACCTATTTAACCATTGGGACATAATTCAAACTTGGAACTACAGTTGCGGTTATTGTTCCCACACGGACATGTTATGGGTTACCTATAAATAGTGTGTACCCTCTTGGCTCTCTCTTGTCGACCCGGGCTGCGACCCGATAACATGTCCTTTGCAGCTTGTGAATAAATCACTATTCTTGCACCTTCCTTGCACCGCCTCTGACTCCATATCTCTCTGCACTACAATGTCGTATTTATATAATAAATACTGTATATATCTATATAGACAGTGCTTGAATTGGAATGAAAAAGGTGCCAGTACTCTAAAATCAGCAACTTTTTCAAGTCAATTTTATATATACAGCCCACAAACAAGAATTTGGCTACTATAATGCTGGTGGGTTTGTCTCTTTACTACTGTATATTTTAGAAAGGTTCACTGTACTTAACATTTTTTATGATAGGCAGCGGATATGGCTAAAGCTCAGTAAGGTCAATATTAACTGAAAATATAGCAATCAAAGTCTAGATCTTCTGCTGAAGACACATGAAGCAGAGACCTTTCAGGTGAGAGCCCCTCTGGTGGTGTTCAACATTAATGACAAGGAAACAAAGCTCTGGTCAGAAGCATTTTTTATAAAAAGCTTTAACAAAATTAAGTATTTCTGTACATTTTGAATGCAATCTAACTTTCCAACTCAGAAAACGAAAAACGAAAAAGTGCCAAAAGTCTTCTCACATGGCTGAGCTGCTTTGCAATATACTTCACCACTGAAGAATACAAATATGTATAAAGTAAACTATGATGCAATCTAACTTTCCAACTCAGAAAAATGATAAAGAGCATGAACAAAGAACATGTAAAAACAAATGCAAAATTTGCACAATCTAAAATGAGAAACTGTAACTGCAAGTAACAAAGTCTGAGCCATGGTAAAGAGTTACATTGAACACCAAGCTGATCAGATAACTCCCTGGTTGGTCTGAAGTCCTTCTATCTCCAGGATCTGTACAAATCGGCACATTATGCCAAAAGTCTTCTCACTGGGTGAGCTGCTTT